GGTAGACTTTTGAAATATCAGGCTACGATGAGCTGGCATGAAAGGGGACTTAAGGCCTGGGGCAGATCAGCCATATATGGTAGGCCAGGTCCGAGGGGCTGAATGGTCTACTTCATTTATTGCTTATGTTCTTAACTTATCTTGCTTTACTTAATCTGCATTTTATGTTCTGAACTAAATTGGCTCCCATCAGAGTTTATTTGGCATTCCCTAAGGACCAGATTACCGTTTTAGGCAGATCAAATATTTCCTATGAGTTTTGGCTTGATGTAAAGCCTTCACATTGTTCCGTAATGAATTTTCTGCCATAGGGACAGACTTCTGTGAAGGATAAGAGGTGGAAGTTGAAAATGTTCCTGACTCCACAGGAGTGTTTTCATTAAGGAGCTTCCACCCTCTATGTTTTAAATTCAGGGGCTTAGGGAGAAGTATTGAGTTTGGCCCTTCGTCTTCAGAGGCTAAAATGAAGATGCAGGGGATGAAAGGCCACCGTACTCGGTCTGCATCTGCTTATCAAGACATCAGTTCAGTTCTAACCATGACTGCTCGACCCTAAACACCTCCTTATCCTCTCATCTTTTCTATGCACCCTCGTCTCTCATTGATAGTTAAGCAATTGGGAGGTATGAGATTCATTGTCAGCTCACATGGCAGCATTCATTGTCCCTCCCTAAGTGTCCAGACGGAAGTTAAAAATGAACCATTCAGGGAAGTCTGGAGTCTCATATAGGCCTAACCTAGTAAGACCAACAGATTTCAATAACAAAGCAGCTTTTCTTTTTCAACAAATGGTTACATGGTTGACATTAAGCTAGCTTTTTTAATTCCAGATTTTTAAAAATTGAATTCAAATTCACCATCTACCAAGGTGGGATTTGAACCTATGCCTCTAAAACATTAGCCTCAGGTTCTGAAATGTTAGCCCAACAACTTTACCACTACACCATCACCTTCCCAAATTAAAATCCCTACATGAAATTTATAACACAGAAATAGATCGTGCACAACAAACCCCTTTGTCTCTATCTTCCATATAACCCATAGTCCTTATGCCATAAACTGGTCTGTTAGTAACTTTCTTAATTCCTTCTCTCCCTCAACCACCTGTTTAACACGTTTGTAAATGCTAACATCGTTTGTGTTTTAATCACAAACACGAGTCCATAACCTCTCAATCCACTGTATGAAAGTTTGTCTGTTTAAAAAAAAATTGCATTTAATTTTAATTCTCCGTCTATCAATCACTACTAACAATCTGATTCTGCTACTTTGTCCCATTGCTTCTATAATGTTAAGCACCTTTATCAAATCACCTTTCCTAATGAGAACAATCCTAGTTATTGTCATTTTCAACTTTTCATTTCCTTGTTTCCACAAATATTCCAGCAGATCTGTGCTGACAGATCTCTGTTGCCTCAACATTTATCCTATAGTGTGGAATCGTAACGAGGTTCTGTATAGATGCATCATTGCTCCTTGATTCGTATATTCTACAGCTGTAGTACCCAATATGTTATTAGCTTCCTCAATGGTCTTGTCCATTCGAGATCATGCTTATGCCTTCTGAATTGAAACAATCAATTCTCTTTGCTCTTCTGCAGCATCCAGCTTTCTCCAATTTTGATTACAATTATTGCTCGTAGTTACCAAAATGTAGCACTTCACAGCTGGTGGTGAGTTGGAACTTAACTGCCACCTACCATTTATTTGCCAATCCTGCCATTTCATCAACATTCACTTGCAGTTTCCTTCGATCCACAGAATAATTTACTCTGTAACCTATATAGGGTTAAGAATGGACTTTTTGGTCCTTAGAAACAAAAAAACCCAAAGAACTGCGGATGCTATAAAACAGAAATTGCTGGAAAATCTAGCAGGCCTGGCAGCATCTGTGGGGAGAAAGCAGAGTTAACGTTTCAGGTCCAGTGACCCTTCCTGAACAGTTCTGAAGAAGGCTCCCTGAACCCGAAACGTTAACTCTGGTTTCTCTTCACAGATGCTGCTTAGACCTGAGTCTTTTCAGCAATTTCTGATTTTGTGCTTGGCTCTTTGACTCTGCCTGCCATTCAATCTGATCATGGCTAATCTAATTTTCGCCTCCAACTGCTTTCCTGATTATCTCCTAGATCTTTTGACTCCCTTGATAGTCAAGAATCTATCTCACTGTCCTGACCTTAAAGATATTCAATGAGCCATCATCCACTGCTCTTTTCGGTAGAGAATTCCACAGACTTATGAACCTATGATAGTAAAAGCATTCTTCTTATTTCCATTTTAATTAGGAGACCATGAATTTTAAAACTGTGTCTTCTAGTTCTAGCCTCTTTGCTTTTGGTATAACATGCCTCTTTAGCCATCAATCCAAATCAATGATGCACACTGCAAACAGAAGATTTTCTAGAAGAAAATCTTGAGAGAAATTGCAACCCCCTTCTTTAATTATGCCTGTGCTGTCTCTTTTCAAATTTAATTTGTTTTGAGCCTCTTTACTTTACCTTGAATTTTGAATGGTGTCGTTTTCCACAAAAATAGATTACCTTGTTGTCATCAAATTGCTGTTTGTGGGTCATCTTTCCTGCATCCACAACAATGACTAGATTTCAAAATACTTCATTGGATGTAAAGTACTTTTGTGGCATCTAGTGGCCATGAAAAGCTCTAAAACTATAAGTTGCTTTTTTTCATTGGTACAGGTTTATTTTTAAACTTTGAATTTATATTTTAGAAAGTATCTCATTGGTCTATCTTTCAGTTTGTCTTAGCCAGCTCACTATTCTTTTTTCCAATAGTTGCCCCGATCCAGTTTGGAGCTTTTGTTGTGTGAACTTTTCCCTTTCTATTTGAATCTTAACTCTCATCTTACTAATAGTCTTGAGATTTAGTTCATCTTCATTGCTTCCTTCACATATGCTGTACCTGATGGCAGGTTCTTGGCTCTGTATCTGCTAATGCCCTATCCTGAGCATGTTCTTTGTAGTATTGGCTTTCCAATGCCTTCTATTCTTCGCAGCAGGGTAAAGGAGCAACTGTCAAAGTCCATCTCAACCAAATGGGTATTGAACTTTTGTTGATGATGCTAACATGAAGTGTATGGTAACTAGTTAACCAACTGAGCTAACCAGCTCCCTAGTTCATCTCCCTAATCTAGTAATGCATAACTACATTTAGCAATGTCTCTACCCATGAACATGAACATATGAGGAAGTTGTCCTACATATAGTTTAGCAAATCCTCTTACTGATTTTTCCTAGTCTTATGTGCTGCTTTAAACAATCATAATTTATTTCAATTTATCCTTTGACAATCTGTTGCATTTAGTTCATTGATTTTTAATTCAGAATTCAAATTTCTGGTACAAATAATCAGCAACTACATTTTTGGTAATGACTGTGCTATGATCCTAGCATATGCAGAGTACAGATGAATAAATAACGTTCTTTGCAGTATTGGCCACTTTTTGTGTTTCTTCAAAGACAGTCATCTGGACTTTTGGTAGTTTTAGACTGAGCTGGAGAAGTGTGAATTGCAGTTTACTTTTTAAGTTTATCCTGCATGTATGTCACTAAGTTGAAACCAAAATGGTGTCTTTCCCTATCTTTATTGCAGTTGAAGTATCAATACCCTGTATGCTTTTCTACATCTCATGACTTGGTGTGGAATGTTGATTTGTGGGTCAGCTCGTGCACTAATTTTAAATGTAGAAATAATTTGTAAGAGTTTCTGGATATGCAATCCTACTTAGTCCCATGGAAGTGAAGAGTGATTAGTGAAAAATGCCCATTCCATTTAATCCCTTTGAAAGGTAAGGTAGCCATGTGCAGGGATCTTGAGACGTTTGCTTCCTATTGCCCTTTGGATGAAGCTATTAATGTATAGAGGCAGTTTACTAGGATATTTCTTATCCACTGAAAAAGACAATAATCTTCTCTTCTAAGATAAACTGTTTGAGGAGGATGAATGAAGAAAAGCAGCTTATTCAGCAAAGATAAAATAATCCCTATTCTTTAACTGAATTATTTTCATGCCTTTGTCTTCTTTATACAGACTGATGCCCTAACTTTTCAGTTTATCTTTAGTATCAAAAGGGTGGCAGTTAATTAGGAAAGGTTTCAACATCTCTTCCTAAAATGTGTTTTTTTTAAAAATATGTCTGTGAGTCAAATTTATATGTACAATTTTTCTAATATTTCCATGATCTCCATCTATTAGACTATGCTAGATCGCTTTGAATTGAATAGAATATCAAACCAATTGTGAAAGACTGTAAATTTTCTGGGCTGTGTCACAGCAATACTGTGTAGATGCTTTCTAATTGACCTGTTCAGAGATGTTATAACACACCTTTGGAGCAGGTGGAACTGGAACCTGGACTTCCTGGTCCAGAGGTAGGGACACTATCACTGCACCACAAGAACCCTCACATTAAAACTGTATCGTTAACTTGAAACTTTTTTGAAGCATTACTAGCTTTCATTGCATTTTACAAAGCCTGTAAGCATTGTGTGTTCATTATTTGTTTATGCATTAACATTTTCTTTCCTGTTTCTGTTGTTTCCCTGATACTTTCATGGTGGTCTGGCAACTGGACTTCTTCCTATGCTGCTCACAGCTAATTGTTAAGGGAACTATTTGTATGCTAATATATGCTGGAAGTAGCTACTGATTTTGTTTTCTGTTTGGACATTCATCATTGAGTTCAAACTGGAAGATTAATTGTTCAGATTGAAAGAAATATACTTGCTGAATGGAATTGCCAGTTTTTAGGCAAATAATTAACATAATCTTCAGTGTGGCCATTAGCAGGTTAACCTTTTCAGTTGAAAATGCTGACAGTTTCTGAAATGCATTGTTTTTCAGAATTTGTCAAACCCAAGAATTAAGAGCTATGGCCATTTCTCGAGTCTTAAGGGTAATCTAAATGCATAGAGCGAAGAAGCTGCTGAAGATATTAAAGTCTGCATTACATTTGATGCTTATGTTTACAATTATTCACATTTTAGGGTTCAAAGGTCTGTCTGGTACAATTAAAAATGGCATTTCTCATGAAATATTAGAACATGCTCAGCCACCAGAAAATAATTCAGATGCTGGAAGGAAAATTCATTTGCAGGTAAACAGCAACTGTTTTTTAACTCACTAAGAAATGCGAAAAAATTACTCAGATATGTTTGAAGATAGAATCTAAAAATCGGATTTTTGTTCAAAACCCTTTCTGACAGAAAATCACAGTGGTGGAATGTATTTAGATTCAGAGTATAAATAATGCTTTTGCTGACTAATCCACTTATCCTTGAGAACTTACTGTGACTTTAATATTAAATCATTATTTGTAAAGAACACTGATGCAAAGTATTTGTTAAATATTTGATATTTCTGCATTACTTTCTGCTTTGTAGTTCCTTTTGTAACCTCGCTTATGAATAAAAGAAAACACAGTTAAAAAGACATATTTTAAAAATAAGTTTTTTGATATTCCTTTTAATATTGCTATTCTTTCTCCCCACCACCAAGACTTTTCTCTATATTCATCTTGCCATTTTTCAGTATTCCAGTCCTGCAGCCCACAACTTACTTTTCAATCTGAATCTTTTGTTGTCGTTGCTACTTTTAAATTGTTCTTATCTCCTTGCCAGTTTCAATATGAATAAGATGATGACCTAGAAATTCAATTTTGGTGGAATTATTAAGAATAGTCTTTGGGCAATCCATTAGTGCCTATTGTTTAGGCTCATTTAAAGAGCCTAGTTCTCCTACAGAATGTATCTTCAGTTGCTAAAAATTGAGATGTAGCAGACTGTTGAACTCCCATTGGAGTTACCAAATGGGAGTGTTGAACGATATCAAGAGCATGCTACAGATTGCATATTAGTGTGGGTCAGGACACAGCTGCACAGCTGGCTGCAGAACTAACAAGGGCACTGACATGGTGGATGGCATGGAAGCTGGCATGAAAGGCCAGCAGCTTTCCATCTGATGAAGCAGAGTCATGCACCTAGCACTTCAGCATTCCTTGACTCAGTGTATAACAGAGGGCGAGAGTGATATGCTACATTGGAAACCTATGTAAACACTGGCCACAACAGCCTAGATGGCAGTGATGAAATTCTTTCTCAGTAGTATTGTGTGTAATTGTCTCTGGTAAACTGGAACCCGTGATGTTCCCCCTGTCATTGTCATAACTCCTGCACATATTCCAGCAATCGTCCAATGTGAAAACACTCCTTCAACCTCCCTTCTACAGTAAACAGGGATCTCTGCCTCATTCAGGAGAGAATGATTAATATCTGGCATGCTTTGCTCCATAGAGGGTAATGTGTGCAGACACATACTGTACTCCTAGAAATGACTAGTTTTTTATGTGTTTTTTAAGAAAATTACTGAATATTTTGTGGTTAAGTGAGGATTACAATAGTTGAGAGAGTAGGTACACCAAAGCGTAGGAGGAGTGTAATGCACAGAATTTGAGTTTCGTTGTTGTCCATAATCAAAGTGTATATGAAGTCCTTGATCAAAGAAATGAGATTAGGATTCCCAATTCCTTCGCCTCCGCCGCATCTGCTCCCAGGATGAGGCATTCCACTCCCGTACATCTCAGATGTCCTCGTTTTTCAAGGACCGCAACTCCCCCCCGCCCCCCCCAGTGGTCAAGAACGCTCTCAATCGTGTCTCCCGCATTTCCTGCAACTTATCCCTCACACCCCCTCCCCACAATAACAACCAAAACAGAATCCCCCTCGTCCTCACGTACCACCCTACCAACCTCCTGACCCAACGCATCGTCCTCCAACACTTCCACCCTCTGTAATCTGACCCCACCACCAAAGACATTTTTCCCTCCCCACCCTTATCTGCCTTCCAGAGGGACCACTCTCTCTGTGACTCTGTTGTCCGCTCCACACTCCCCGCCAGCCCCACCTCACCTGGCACTTTTCCCTGCAACTGCAGGAAGTGCTACACCTGCCCCTACACCTCCCCCCTCACCCCCATCTCAGGCCCCAAGAAGACTTTCCACATCAAGCAGATGTTCACCTGCACATCTGCTAATGTGGAATACTGCATTCGCTGTTCCCGTTGTGGCCTCCTCTACATGGGGGAAACCAAGCGGAGGCTTGGGGACCGCTTTGCAGAACACCTACGCTCGATTCGCACTAAACAACTGCACCTCCCAGTCACGAACCATTTCAACTCCCCCTCCCATTCCTCAGACGACATGCCCATCCTGGGCCTCCTGCAGTGCCACAACAATGCTCCCCGAAGGTTGCAGGAACAGCAAGTCATATTCCGCTTGGGAACCCTGCAGCCCAATGGTATCAATGTGGACTTCACAAGCTTCAAAATCTCCCCTCCCCCTACCGCATCCCAAAACCAGCCCAGCTCGTCCCCGCCTCCCTAACCTGTCCTTCCTCCCACCTATCCCCTCCTCCCACCTCAAGCCCCACCCCCATCTCCTATCTACTAACCTCATCCCGCCCCCTTGACCTGTCCGTCTTCCCTGGACTGACCTATCTCCTCCCTAACTCCCCACCTACACTCACCTTTACTGGCTCCATCCCCGCCTCTTTGACCTGTCTGTCTCCTCTCCACCTATCCTCTCCTCTATCCATCTTCTATCCGCCTCCCCCTCTCTCCCTATTTATTTCAGAAACCCCTTCCCCTCCCCCATTTCTGAAGAAGCGTCTAGGCCCGAAACGTCAGCCTTCCTGCTCGTCTGATGCTGCTTGGCCTGCTGTGTTCATCCAGCTCTACACCTTGTTATCTTTAATTAACATAATCTTCAGTGTGGCCATTAGCAGGTTAACTTTTTCAGTTGAAAATGCTGACAGTTTCTGAAATACATTGTTTTTCAGAATTTGTCAAACCCAAGAATTAAGAGCTATGGCCATTTCTCGAGTCTTAAGGGTAATCTAAATGCATAGAGTGAAGAAGCTGCTGAAGATATTAAAGTCTGCATTATATATTATGCTTATGTTTACAATTATTCACATTTTAGGGTTCAAAGAGATTACTGTGTGTTCTGATTCTCAATGTTGATTTGTCCCAATTTAAATTATTGCAGTGGCAAGTTTTTTGTGAGTATAAAAATGAAAATTATTTATTATCACACACTTGGCCCAGAGGTTTAATATCTAAAGTCTTAAAGACACTATCAAATGCATGAGGATTAGATATAGATGAAGGAGCAAGCAATACAATTATGATCTGGAACTGTTTTAATCTGTTTCATAACAGAACTTTCTTCAACAAATGGTGTTTTAACTGGAATGGAGATCTCGTAAAAGCAGAGAATTCTCATTAGGCTGTGAAGATTCTTGTAGTTGAATTGTTAGGCAGTTAGCTCTAGGGTAAACTTGAAGTTGGAAAAGATTGGGACGAATTTCACTGCATTATTGTTTTGCAGCTGGTTTGATGGTTTCAGCTGGTGTTGTGGACAGTATCTGCTGTAAATTATTCTGTCTCAGAACGCAGTCTGTTATTAATTTTAAAAGCAGGCAACAGGTTGGCTTACTATTGTTACAAGTCCGAAGATGTTTTCCAAATAAGTAGGTCAATACACCTAAAAAAACACCTGTGTTGTGCCTTTTTACAATCTGGTAAACATATTGCACAACTGATTGAAGAGATGCTGCTGACTCTAAATGGAATCCATGAAATACTGTCCCCTTCCATGGAGCCAGTGACTAGTGTAAAGTGACCAGTGACTAGGCTGCTCCCCTAAACTCTCAACAGCAATACAGACACATGAACAGGTGAATGTAGCTTGCATCCTGACCCTGTGTACCTTTGTCCATTTTTGGATATGATCAAAATTCTAAACTATTGAATCTTGGATTGTTAAAAACAAAATAAAGGCATAATACTAAACCAGTAATCATGCACATATTTTTGTGGATTAACTTCTTGACTGTTATGTTTGCTCATGACCCCAATCTTTTTTGTCTTATGATTTTGTTTTGTTCCCTAGAACCCATTGAAGAAAAACAAATTAAAATTAAGGACATCTTTAGATATTACCAGGTAGTAGAACATTTCTTGTTTTTATTAACAAGTTTATTATCTCAAAACCAGCCCCCTTCCCCACATTAATTTTACAGCTCTTTGTACAAATCAAGGTGTGTTTGTCAGCACTCCAGTTTTCGTTTCAATTGTGTTCAGTTGCATCCTACACTATTACACTCAAGGTGTTGCATCCCTAACCTTTTAGTAATGTGTATTGGGCTGGATTTTGCAACAAGAATGATGAGCATCAGAGTTGCAAAATTGGAGGCTGACATGGTAAGACATTACAACAGAGTAAATTTGACAACTTCTACTCTTCTGCACACAATTAAATGCACAAGTCCAGAAATTCCTGTCAGAAATAATCCATTCCTCCACAGGATGCATTGTTTCAATTCTCTGTAGATTTGGCTTTGAGATTAATGCAATGGTGTGAATGTGGACTGTTAGCTTGTGAGTTCTGCACTAAAGCTAAGAAATCATTTTGTGTGTTGAGGAGTAAATGAGTTTGTAATGGTGTGTTAAACAGTAATTGTCATTGAACAACATCTCTAGACCTGAAAATTATTTTTAATCAATGTTGAGTCTCATTCCCCTAAAAAATAATGAATATGAAGATTGTTCAAAAAAGTAGAATAGCTTTTTTTCCCTCTTCCATCTCTCTTCTGTCTTCTGTATTTCCCAATCTTTAATTTTGTCTCCTGAACTTTATTTAAATCTAATTTATATTTCATGATTTATACTTCCTGATTTTGAATTTATATGCCCCTGTAAGGGTTCTTCAGTCTCATTGGTTTAAGAACCTTGCTATTACTCAACCTCCTCTCAAACGACATGGCTTCCGTGTGTGAGCACTGTATCAGATCAGACATAGATATGCAAAGTAAGTCTGTTCTGAACCCTACAAAACCTTGCAGCAGCTTTTAGTGAGTTGAAAGGTAAGTGTCGTTTCTTCATCACTGAAAGGAAAATTCAGGCCATCATATTTACATTAGCTTCATTAATGCATCACAGATTTGATGTTTGAAGCTTAAGTAGGTTATTTGTTGTCACAAAAAAGAAAGAAACACTAATTTCCCATTGGAATACTCTGAAAGTATTGTTCTTGGACACACATAGATTTATCTAAGTTAAAAAACAGAAGATTTTTCAAAATAGAACATGCAATCCTTCTGAAAGATCTGTGTCATCTTGTACTGAACTGTGCATTATGTTGTGAAATTATCCTGTTTATGGGTTTTACCAAAAACTTTAAATACCCTTCTCCTTTGCATATGCTGGTTGCCTGTTAATTTCTTGCAATTTCTATTCCTGTCCAGATTTCCAGCTTTTCCTTTCTTGATTTTATTTGTGCAACATGATGCATTGACATAGTCAGAAAAAAAAGCCACTTTTTCTGACAGTGAAGCCCAAGATTTTATTATGACATGCTACATGTGAACTACGTACAAGCATAGAAATTGCTCAAGTGCAAGATCAGTTCCAGAGTGACATCAGCCATCGTAGTAGTTAAATGAAACAGTGATAATGGAATTGTTGATTAGTCATCTGAATGAAAGTCCATCAATTCATCTACAAAAAAGGGCAGAGGTTGTGATCTGAAATTGTTGAACTCAATGTTGAGTTTGTAAAGCTGTCAAATGCCTAACTGAAAGTGGCGCTGCTCTTCAAGCTTATACTGAGTTTAATTGGAACAACATAAGAGGCCAAGGACAGATAGTCAGGGTGGGTGCAACACAGGGAATTAAAATGATAGGTGACCATACGCTTCGAATCATTGGCGGACAGTCCCTGGGTTGTGAATGGGTTCCGTTCTGAAGTCCGTTTGCAATTCAATTTGTTTACAAGTCGGGACACAATGCAGGACAAAATAAAGGAGCTGTTTGTAAGTACAGGAAATGGTTGTATGTCGGAACTTTAAAATTACACCCCTGCATGAGTTGGACGTTTGTAAATTGGGGACCTCCTGTTTGTGGACTGAATGAGGACATTCTACAAAACAGTAGTCAAATCTGCATTTGACCTCCCCACAGTACGGGATACTGCATCATGAGTTGCAAATACAGAGAGAGACAGACAGACAGATGGAGTCAAGGTTAGGGTATTGGAGTTTATGATGGGGACCAAGAAGAATGCTATCTGCTTTCACAGTTGAATAAGTTTCTGCTCATGCAGTACTGGGTAACTGACTAGCAATCTGACAAGTTTTAGACGGTAAAGAGTGGTGGTGAGATAAAGCCGGGTAACATTGGCAAATACGTAGAAACCTACACTATATGTTTGGATGACATTCCCAAAGGATAGTAAATGGATATGAAATGGGAAGGGGCAAGGGTAGAGACTCAGGAACATGAAGTTAATATAAAGTCGTTACAAAACCACCAGATTTTGTGTGTGTGATTAGTTTGATAATAAGGGAGTCAGACAAATTTAAACCCACACAAGTGGATAATAATGGAGCTGGATTGAAGGAGAATGGTATGCTTGACTGTGTTAAAAGCTGTAGACAAGTCAAGAAAGATGACGAGGGACAGTTTACCTCCTTCAGCGTTATGTAGGATATCATTTGTGACTTCAAAAGCCATTTCAGTATTGATTGGAGTGCTATGAAATTTAGACAGAAATTTGAGAGATGACAACATGTAAAAAGACCTTGGGGAGGACATGAAGGTTGGTGATGGGGAGGCAGTAAATAAAGGATAGAGGGGCTAGAGTTTTATTTTAGGGAGATCCAAAAGTTAGACTTGCTGCAGTTCTGCAAAGCTTCTGCATCTCCAAAACCTACATCATCTGTAACATGAAAAGACAAAAGCATGAGTTGCATGGAAAAAGCATCAATATCAAATTCCTCTGCCAAGTCACATGCCATCCTGACTTGACCATGTGTAATTGTTCCTTTATTGTTGCTCGGTGAAAATTCTGCAATTCCCTACCTAACAGTTTTGTGGATCACCTTCATCAAACAGTCAGCAGCAATCCAAGAACACCCACCTGCAGCTTCTCAAGGGAAGTACTGTTGAAGTTTAACCTCCTGAATCCATGTAACTTCCAGTAAAGAACGCTATTCAATTTCCTATCATATGTCCAGTAGTTTTGGCTTGTGGCATTTTCTGAAATTGAATGGGAAGAATTTCAGCCTCTGGAGAGGTGTATCCCCCTAGGTTCTGTTAGTGAATCAAGATGTCTGATCAATGAGCACCGAAGTGTGCTGAGAGAGTTCACTTGCTACTGAAGATTCATGATAAGGCATGTCACGTAAAGCTTCCAAAATCTCAAAGAAATCCAACCTGCGTCCCCTTCCCTCTACAGTGAATCCTCATGAACTGATTCTTGGACAACTACTGAATTTAGATTTGAACCCTACTTTGTGCAGCACACACCTGGATTATGTGACGTGGTGAACAGCACAGCTCATTAAATGGGACTTGTGGTTCTGCCATTCTCCTGGCTATAGTGTGGACTGTGCCATTCTGTGTACCAGAGAATGGTTCCACAAGTGAGAGATGTGCAGTGTCATTTATAGCTGTTTACCACTCCATAATGCAATCATGATATAGGATAAGCAATGGATAAAGGAGCATTTTCTTGTACCTGACGTCCAGTAATGCATTCAAGCAGCAATCATTCCAGGGGAGGTGATGGCCTAGTGGTATTATCGCTGGACTGTTAATCCAGAGACCTAGATAATGTTGGGTTTGAATCCCGCCATGGCAGATGGTGGAATTTGATTCAATAAAAATCTGGAATTAAGAATCTAATGATGACCGTGAATCCATTGTTGATAGTTGGAAAAACCCATCTGGTTCACTAATGTCCTTTGGGGAAGGACACTGCCATCGTTACCTGGTCTGGTCTACATGTGACTCCAGGCCCACAGCAATGTAGTTGACTTTCAACTGCCCTCTGGGCAATTAGGGATGGACAATAAATGCTGCCTGGGCAGCAACAACCTCATCCTGTGAATGAATAAAGAATTAACCAGACAATAAGAATCTACTTTGCCAATTTTGTCATCATGAAAAACAGCTTGCAGACAGCCTTGATGTCCCAGACATTCAGTCCAGTGTCACTGGCAACCTTTTCATCACTAACTGCTTAAGGTCCTTGTTAGTGCAGCCTTGATAAGAGAAATGCCTCTTTAGAAGTTGATTTTTGTCAAAAAGGAAACTGCATGGGGAGGCCCTAAACCTTCTCCCCTGGTTGGGAGTGCTTGTTCAGAGCAGGGCTCAGAGAGTTGCCTGCATTTGGTGATGCTGCAGTGCAGAGAGAAGGCTAAAAGCCCCAAAGATTTTTTTCTCAAACTCAGAAAAGTCTATCATTCAGGTAATAAGATCTTGGGAAAGGAGAGTAACCTATTTCTGGGTATTTTGCCCCCCAGATCTTGCTCAGTGACATTGCCACCTCTGGAATGGAGCCTGCTTCCTTCACCCACTTCATAGTTTTTGAGTGTGGTCATGTCATAAACATATAGGTTGTTAGGGACTGCATTCCCACTGATATTTACATCTATTGGAGGTGGGCTGTAAAAGGAGGGAGGAAAGGTAAAGGGCAAGGTGGCACTCATCCATCCTGACAAATTTTCTCACTATTTTTGCCACCAATACCTTGGGTTTGGAATGGGATGAATTGGCATGTCTTATGTCTATAGGCTAATGAATACTATCCTGCACCTCCTGCTTGTTTTCTATTATTTGTGACATCTTTGATTCTACGGATGCACACCAAACACAATTCTAATTATCACAGATTTTATGCCCAGATAATCTTAAAAAATGGACAAATATAAACAAAATAATAAGGATTCTGGAAATCTGAAAGAGAAACAAAGTGCTTAAAAAAACTCAGCAGGTCTACAACTCAGCATCTTTAGAGAGAGAAACACTTATAACATTTTGAGTCCAATATGACTTGAGATCCGAAGAAATCATATTTGTCTCAAAACGTCTGTTTCTCTCACCACACATGCTGCCAGCCATGCAGAGTCTTTTTCCAGCATTTCTTTTTAAATCAAAAATGGCCTTTATAGCAACCAAATGCAGTTTTCTCTCAATATGTCATGTCACAAATGTTGGCTTGTGTTTCCTCTTCATTCACAGTTCTGAACAACAGCTGAGACCCAGTAGAATCCCAGTGAGAAAAAGCAATGTGCTTACATCCCAGGGAAATGTGCGACTAACCCCCAGCAAAGTCAGTCAGAATCCTGAGCTGAAAAGTGTGCAGCCAAATGTCCCTCAAGAAGAACCAAACGGATGTAAGTACATGATTCCTTGTTTGAATTAGAATGAACAGAAATAGCTCTCGATCTGAGCTGGATGCTGTCATCTTTTTTTTTGTGTAACTTTGAAAAGCCACCCTTAATTCCTACAGACTGCTTTCTCCTAATCAGTTTTTAATCTAGTCTGTTGTTCTTACTGCGAGTTGCATTGCATAATCTTCCCTTATATTCTGATGTATGAAATCTTGTCAAGGGCCTTGAAATCCATCAATATACATTGCATTTTAGCTACTCAAAGACTTGTTTGGCACCGATATCCTTTTTAATATCTCTGCTACTTACAATTCTTTTCTTCTTCATGTTGATGAATTGATGATATTCTTCTCAGTTTAGAAAATTATCCTTGTACAGATGTTAATCTAATTAGTGTGTAATTGCATGGATTAACCATATCTCCCTGTTTAAAAAATGCTTCCTACTTTTGTCTATACTTGCATGCTATGCTCCAACAGTTAGGTCATCCAGCTGATTTGGTTCATTGCTCATAAATAGATCTAAAAACACCTCTACCCTATGTCAGACTAATGACTGAGGAAAGAATCACACAGTATTTTAGGTATTCCATTAATTTGTCTTCACTTGACTGATTCCTCTTCGTTCCAATTTAAAAAGTGAGTTTGTAAAATTTTCCAGATGAATGATGTGCCTTGCTGAAACTCCTCTCTCTAATCTGATTTCAGAATTCCACGTGTTTCTTATATAATTTGCATGTTTGCAGAACCATCCAACTAATGTTATCGAATCCACAACGACCATCCAAAAAGCACTCAACCCAGACACATGCTATCCTGGTAATCCTGCATTTCCCATGGACACTATGGGCAATTTAACATAGCCAATCCACCCTAACCTGCACTTCTTCGGACTGTGGGAGCAAACCAGAGCATCCGGAGGAAACCCACGCAGACATGGGGAGAACATGCAAACTCCACATAGCTGCCCGAGGCTGGTATTGAACCCAGGTCCTTGGTGCTGTGAAACAGCAATGCTAACCACTGAGCCACCATGCCACCCCAATTTCAATTTTGTTCCGTTAAGTGACCTGGTTTCTGTCAATACTGTTGCCTATCTGTAAAATAAATCAAAAGTACTAGTTTACCTAATATTCACCGTTTTTTTGAAAAGGATTATTCCTTTCCTAGTTTTCTGCTATACCTTACTTATCTTTTCAGTTTTCTTTGATTCATAGGTTTTAGAAATGTAGCTTTTAGTTTGGAGCCTGATGTAGGACAGACTAGGTAAGGGTAGCAGTTTCCTTCCCTAAAGGACATCAGTGAACCAGATGGGTTTTTCCCTGACATTCAACAATGGCTTCATGGTCATCATTAGATTCTTCATTCCAGATTTTTATTGATCACATTGAATTCCAATTTAACCATCTGCAGAGATGGGATTTGAACCTAGGTCCTTAGAAAATTACCTGGGTCTCTGGATTAATAGTCCAGCAATAATACCACTAGGTTGTCACCTCCCCAAAGTGGGTAGTTGGGGTGCTGGGAAGGTAAGATTCCAGATGAAAAGGGGGCAGGGTGCCAGATGGGCAGGGTCCAAGGTGAGCCAGGTGCTGGAGTTAATGATGATAAGGTAAGTAATGCAGTGCTCAGGATAGGTCACGGTGGAGGGAAGACATTGGGTTCGGCAGGAGGGTAGGTCAGATCAGATCAGGTTCACTCTGTTGGGGAGATTCATGAAATCGAGTCAGGTCAGGTGGTGGAGGTTGGAGTCAACATTATTCATTGTATGTGAAGCCTTTTGGGGTGTTTCTTATTGGCATATAAAATCATGTTTCTTTTCTAATTATTGAATTGTCATCAATTGTGTTTTAAAAAAATTGGTGGGATAGATTAAGAGGAAGTATGACAAACATTTTGAAGGTTATGTTACAAGGTTCATTTTTAAATATTTGGGTTCAGATGTTGAAGAAGTCATAGTTTGGCATATAAATATTCACCAGATGGCTTATTTCTAACTTGACTTGGGTAAAGAGTGGAAAATAATCAGTGTATTTATTCCCTTCCTTGGCTTTCTCGACAGGTAGCATATTGGATTGCTCTGCTATGACTTTGTCGCCATCAGCACTGAAATGTAGTTCTGAAGGTTCTGTGTCCACTATTAGTGGTGAAGTAGAAACACAGCTGGATATTTCTGAGAAGGTATTTGCATTTTTCCTGTCAGTTGTGGACCAGTTCTTGCCTCCATGTCAAAAGGTTCTTGGTTCAACTCTCATTTCCAAGACCTGAGTGCAAATTTAATTTGTGGGGACGTGTT